TTCTTTTGTTGTTATTTGCTGGTCTAAGTATTCTTTGTGTTCCACAGATAGTTTGTTTTGGTAATTGATACCCTGTAAGAATTGAATTATCTGCTCTGTTCTTGGTTCCGATGACGTATATAGATTCTCATAAAAGGCAGTGAAAACCTCGCTAATTTTTTCTGTCGTTAAATGGGTGATTCCATGTTCATCTTTTATTGCATTGATTAAACCATTCGTCTGTTTTTGGGTTACCCTGTACTTAAGCAATTTAATAGACTTTGGATTCTTAATTACATATTTAGGTTTTAAATATAGTAGTTGCTTTTGTATTTTTGTGGTTTCCAGCAGTTCTAGCTTTTTTCTTTCCAGATTTAGTTTTTTCAGGTATTTTTCCCCTCCATATTTCATGTGTTTTAATTCCAGAGCTTTAATACTATCTTGGATGTCCTGTATGACTTTTGTTCTTTGTTTTCTCATAGAGGCTGAAAGTGCTATTAATCGCCCTCTAAGTACCGCTTTAAAAGCTTCCCAAATAGAATTAATTGAGGCTTCGCAGGAGGAGTTGATTTGAAAGTAGTCCACTATCTGTGTTTTGATTTCTTTACATATTTCTTCATTCTGTAATAAAAGCGTGTTTAACATCCATTTTTTGTGTCTTGGTGGTTTGTTTGAGATTTGAATATTACTAGATACCCATGCATGGTCTGAGATAGTGCAAGTTCCTATCTCAGCGTCTATGACTTGATTTATATATGTCTTAGACGTAATTAAATAATCAATCCTTGAATATGTTCTGTGTCTATGTGAATAGTAGGTGTATTGTTTGCACCCGGGGTTGCACAGTCTCCATACATCACACAACCCATAAGAGTCTAGTAGTTTCTCTAGCTTGGTCTTCAATGCTCTTTTTTGTTTATAGTTATGTTTTGTAGTATGTGATTTATCCCAATATGGGTTATTGATAAAATTGAGGTCTCCTCCCAGTAATACTTCTCCCTGTTTAAAATCTGTCAGGGTCTGCAAGGTCTGTTTTAAAAAACCCAATTGGTTTTCGTTCGGGGAGTACACTGATGCAATCGTCAAGGGGTCCTGTTCCAACATTCCTTTTACTATGATATAGCGCCCTCTAGGGTCTTTTAAGACTTGTTGGCACTGGAATGGTACATCTCTTGCAATCAATATTGCCATTCCCCTTGATTTGGACGTCCCTGGGGCAAGTAGTTGTTGCGAGAACCACTTGTTTTTAAATATTACGCCATCTGTGTTTTTTAAATGAGTCTCTTGGAGACATAAAATATGTATTCGTTTTTTCACCCAAAAGTTAACTGCCCTCTTTAGTTTGATTTTATTATTTAAGCCTCCTGCATTCCACGTGGCTAGGCTCAATGTTTGCAACATTAAAAAGTAGGAGCTAACCCAAAAAAAGAAATAAAAGAAAAAACCCCTTCACAACAAAATTCCCTTTTTTTATAATTAACTTTCTTCCCCTTAACCCACCCCACCACCCTCAACTTAAACCCTCAAAGAACGGCTTCAACTAGCGCCTTCCTTACTCTTTCTAACCCTTGCAACGCAAGGTGATAGTCTAGAAAGACCGGTCACCACAACCTGGGACCCGTCCCAAGGGGTCTTGTGATTCCACTTACCCCTACTAGAATGTTCCCTACTATCTTGGGGGGTAAGAGAAGTTTGTATATGAAAGTTTTGTTTCTCATTGGACCCCTCCCACTTTCCCCGCTGCAGTTTGTGGTGTTTAATAATACCTTACTTTTTACAATCCATATTAAATATTTTAGTCCTTTAAAGAACTCTATGAACATTAATTAATCTCGTTTTATATCAATCAACTTTAGATTTTAACAAACAATCTTTATTAACAATATCAACTTTTAAACCAATGAATTTAACACTTGGCTTCTTGTGCCTTTTACCAAAAGATCTAAATAATAATCCTTCAGTATATTACTTCATATACTTTTTAAAACAAAGCAAGTGCATCATCTTGAGAATATTGCTTCATATCCTAGGTCTACACACAAACAATAACTTAAACCATATATGACGCAGTTACAAATAATAGTCCTACATAACTTTGTCAGACCTATTAACCGTTCAAAAATCAAATTCAATACTTTTTTTAAAGAATATTTCTTCATATCTTCGTTTCATATACCAAAAATAAATATGTTCAATATATTGTATACAAAAGCATATACATAATGGTATGTTCTATACCCAAGTCATGAGTGACGCACTTGCAAATAAAAATTCTGTTAGGCTATGCTATGTGTACCAACCCGTGTTGATCCAAATTTTAAAATACTAATACAGTTTTAACTTCATAAACATTTAACAGGAAAGATATAGTAAAAAACATACAGATAGGTCTCTTATATTTTGAAATCATTTTCATTTTCACTCACGTGTCTTTTCCAGCAATGCTGCTATTATAGTACAATTTCCAACACCTAGACTCTCATGATTCAAGTATTTAAAAGTTGCTGTTCTTCTTCCTCTGTGAGTTGGATTTTCAAGGTTTGTAAAAGTTTAAGTCCAGATACTTTGTCCGTTGCCTGAAGCAGCGCGCCGTTTCTGTAGACTTGGATGTTAGACGCCGCACTCCATCGGAATTTAATCTGAGCTCCAAATAGTTTTGTTGCGAAAGGTTTCAGACTTCTTCTCTTCTCCAGGGTTTCCGTAGAGAGATCCAATAAAACCAGAATTTGGGTGCCTTCGTAGTCGAGGTGTCTGTTTGCTCTTGCCTCTCGTAGTATTTTTTCACGCGTGCTGGGGTAAAGAAACTGCACCAGCACATCACGAGGACGATTTATTTTTGCCATTGCAAGCGGCCCCAGTCTATATGCCTTTATTATGTTCGGCAATTTACCTTCTTCCAGGTGCAGGATCTTGGCTAGCCATGTTGCTAGGTTTTGCATTAATTTGTTGTCCCGATCCAAGCTTTCATCCAGCCCTCTAAATTTTAAGTTCAGGAGTCACCACCTGTTTTCCAGGGCTGTAATTCTATTGTTGTGTTGCTCGTTTCTTTCATTCATTCCGGTCAGGTTTGTTTGTAAGGTTGAGGTTAACTCCACATTTTCTTCTGTTAGCTTAGTTGTGCTCTCCAAGCCTTTTTGTAGCTCCGTCACTTGGTTTTGTATAGGTTGGATCAATTCAGCAATGCTTGATGATAACGTTTGCACCAAGTCTTGTTTTAACTCCAAAAAGTCTTTTTTAGTGATTGGTGCTGTCTCTTCTTCTTCGGTGTTGCTAGACTGTTGTGGAGAGCCTCCCGGCGCCATGTTGTCTTCTCTGCGAATATCGCTGCTCGCGCCTCTTGTTGTTGAGTCTCTGGTGAAGTACGTGGAGACCGTGAAGTTTTGCAATGGATTTTTTGCCACACTGTCTTTGTTTTTCTTTCCCATTACTTTTTAAGTTCAGAAAGGACGATTTTGATGCGTAGAGTTAGATTTATCGGCGGGGTGAAGTGGGAGCGACGGTCTTTAGCGTCTGCTCACATCCTCAACGCTCCACCCCCCCAAGCTAAGCAATTCTTAACTTAAGTCTTGGTTCCAAATTAAGCAGCAACAGTCCAGGATGGAAAGACTTGAAACTGAAATTTTGATTTAATCATTTAAATTGCTCAAATTTCAAATTTGTATAATCTCTGAACAAGCATGCAACTAGTTGCTACAAACAATGGACACTGGTTTGCAAGTAAACAGAGACCAAGCATAACCTAGGAACACAGTTCAAGCCCTTTAGTCATGTGGTCTATGAGCACTGCAAAATGTTAGCTGCTTGGACACGGAAGATCAATTTGATTCTCCCAGTACATGTGCAATGATATTGAGTAAGCTAAACGCACAGAACATATCTGAAGCAAGAGCTAGTACTTACTGGGCAACACCATATTACCTCCGAGATCCTAGCACAATGTCTTACTAGTACCTGGATTTGACAGGAAACCCACAGGAACACATAATGGTGTATAACTTATAACAGAATCCCCACCACCATTTTTAGACATTAAAAACTCAATTTTTAATTCAGTAGCTTGGTTCACACGAACAGCAAACCAGGGCTTTCCCATTCATATACTTGGATTGTCCCCCTTGCCTCTTTTTTGCAGCACAAGTTTGCTGTTGCATCTGAACCAAGCAAACTGATTTGGTGCAAAAGAAAAGGACAGGAAGTAAGCAAGAAGGCAAAAACCTGAGGCTTGATGAAGCGATTTGAAATTATACCTGAAGCATGTTTCAAATTTTAACAGATTAAAGGTATATGTTCTAATTTATTTGAATTAATCCATAGTACATGTAAATGTATTTGTTTTAAACAGACATTTAGTGTTACTGATTTTTTACAAAATTATATAAATATAAGAAAAACCTCTTTAAAAGTCACTGATTTATCATCCAGAGACTCTGTTCCAAGTACAGGACTAAACTAGTATGCAAGGCAGGCAAAAATAAAATAGTGGATACCTATTAGGCAGAATCTAGATACCTTCACATAGTCAAGTGTCAGAAAGCATATGTATAAGGGTGCCTTTTTGCATGAAACCAAAAAAGATGAATTGATGACTTATGGTTTTGAAGAATAGGAATATGAATCAGATTATAAAGGAGAGATTTATTATGTTGCTATAGAGAGGGTGATTAGAGTAAACTAAATTGTCAGTCACGGACGAAAATCAAAATATATTCCCTTATTTTCCTTCTATTTTTCATGTTTTCCTTTATATTCCATTGTTTGTGTTTTCTGTTTTTTTCCTTTATGTACGTCATTCTAAAAATATGAATAAAAATTGGTATAGTATAAAAAAAGAAAGTATATGTTTAAGGGTAAGTGTGCTACCCATAATTTATACAAGATGATAGTTTCCTAATATACCTTGTTGGATGAGGGGGGAGAATCACACAATGTGCAGCTACGCATATGTACTGAAGAACTATGGAAAAAAGAGTCCAAATAAACATGAATGACAGCAAGATTAAAGAAAAGTATTTATTACTTACATGACTCCTTGCAGAACTTTCTGGGGATCAGGATCAAATAATCTGTCAACATAATGGCGACTGCTAGCCGTGACTTCCTGTAGAAAAATGACATTTAATGGTTTGTCAGTTTGGCAGAAATATCCAAGAAAGAAAAAAAATAATGTACATTTATGACTGCAACAAACTGCAAAACTATTCTGACAGCAAAACCAAAAGGATGTTGTAATGCCTATATGAAAACATTCCCAGACTAAGCAATATCAAGATTACCTTTAGCAGCTATACACTGAATTAAACACTGCAGCCCACAATTTTCGTAACTTCTGTAGAATAAACTATTTTTTAAAAAATAAAATTCGACGGTGGATTAGACCTAGAGGTTTGCCGGCCCTGGGAAGACGCCTCGATGACCAAAGAACGTATGCTATCAGGTTAGGTTGACCAATGGAACCCATCTTGGACTAATGAGACTCAACCTCAAGAGCACCACACTTTATTTAATTATTGTTTTTATGCTGTTTTAACTGTTTGTTATGGCAATTGCCTCTGTTGTTAGCCGCCCTGAGCCCATTTGGGGAGGGCGGGATATAAATCCAATAAATAAAAAAAAAAAATGTTGTGCAAACATACAGGAACAACACATAACCATAATTACTACAAGAAATAGCAGTCCTATTATACTGCTTTCAGCATTCTTAGGCAAATACAATTAAGACCACAATGTTACTGTTGTCCAAAAGGAGGACACCTAAAAACTCCTTTATGCATGTTGAACTTCATGCAATGGATAAGAACTAATTTGAGCATAAACATTTCCAAACTTTATATTTGTAAACCAACACTAATTTATGTACACTTTCATTCAGATCCTAACCATGCTTACTTGGATTTTAATGGTAATTACTCCAAAGTAAGGATGCACAGATCTTAGGTTCCCCCTCCCCAAAGTTCCTAGGTTTTCTTCACTTGAATTATAGTCCTATTACATTATATTCCCAATATGCTTCATGTTTACAGTTGCTTCGAGCCACTTAGGTAAGCAATGCAGCATCATTTTGGACCTTGTTTTCTTTGAAATATACATTTATTCTGTTCTTCCAATATAGTAGTGTTAGTTTGCAGAAAAGGCTTTTAAAGCCTACTGACAGGGTTTTAGATCCAATGCTCTACTTTTCATTTCACTCCTTCTTCTGAAACTATATTATACTAGGATTATATTATACTATTTCAATATAGCAAAACAGATTTCCATCCACATTGTATTAACTACCCCAAGAAATCACTGCATGCTTTACTGCTGAATTTCAGTTTCTGTATTCACTTAGGCAACAACAGTGGTTTTCAAACTTTCTACATTCAGGGAACCCTTCCCACATTGACTTCAGTTCATGTGACGCTCTGGCCATTAAATCTTCCAGTGCTTTTTTCTAAATGTCTTTTTATTTTCTTCTGACAACAGCACCTCCTAATGGAAGAAATGCATCTTGTTCTTGCATTGGATATATATATGAAATGATTTGGAAAATATTTGAACACCTTGTCTTAAAATATTTTATTCATCATGTTAAAATAAAACGTTCCATAATCAATTTTTTTTCTTTTCTTTTTTCAATTTTTCCAATTTTTCGGAAGAAAACAAAAAAGACTTCAGGGGAAAAAATGGGGGGAAACGGGCTTTTCCCAAATTTTTCCGTTTTTTTTCCGGGCCTTCACATCTCTAATCAAATCCAGAGCTAAAATTCCTATTTATATGCCTTCTTATGAAGTATTAATCACCAATCCAATACAGAGTTGCTGGGTCAGCTGCTGTTCCATAGAAGCCAGAAGTATCATGAAACATACGGTTTTAGAACTGTATATTGCAGGGGAAGATTGGTAGTAGCAACAAGCTGCAGACAAGCTGTTTTTCAGAGAAGCTTGTACTCTACCACAGATCTTCTCTTCAAGAAATTCCTGATAAGTGTCAAATGAACAGTTCTGAAGAGCAATTTGAAACCACTAGACAACAGCATAGTAGCATAGTGACCATATTCCAGCTTCGCTAGAGATGAAGTCACTGTCTAATTTAAATAACTGGACAGACAGCAAGACTGGGAATGCAGAAACAAACCCTAATAATAATAATTGCAAGAGGAGAATTTCCTCCAAATCATTAAATCAGAAAGCAGTTTCTCCATTTGCATGGTAGTTTGTTGCAGTAAGCAGAAACAGCTAGTAAACACAATTACTTATTAACAGGCCTGACTCTGAAATATAAAGATAAAATTGGAAAGAAACCAAAAAACCACATTCAACAAAGTAAGACTTTCATCTTAAATGCAAAGATTCTTCTAAAACTAAGCAGCATGATTAAATCAGATTATTTACAGCTCAATGAAGTTTTCTTTACAATTCTGAGACTTACATATAAAATTGGCTATAGGAAAGCACAAACTACATCTGCAACTTCTTTCTGCATTCTACATCTCACAACATCATTTCTAGTATGCTGAATCAAAGACTCTGGAACCATCACTTAGGTACAAGATTGCCAATACTGGTAATAATAATTAGAAATAGATAAAAAGTGGCAAGAGAAATTTGTTTGAAACAACAGATATCACTATCGTCTCAGAGAGTACACAACCCTGATTGCAGGAGAGAAACATGGAAAACTGTTCAGGATGCTCTTATGTCAAAGTTCTACTAGATAGATAAGCCAGGCACTATTTAAAAGCTTTACAAAAGATTGCTCAACTTGATTGCCCCAGTTTCACACTACTGGATTGAGGTGATCAAGCACGGCTTTACACATCAATCTAATCTAGATGAAGCTAGGATTACAGTTATTTACCATACTCAAGTATTCTTCTTCACCCCATCTCTCCCAACTAAAACCAAGAAAAATATACTTAAGAGATATTCCATCCTTTTGCCAATAAGGGAAGTATTTTGGCAGACATTAGAATCTGGCACTGCACTCATCCCAAACTCCACAGGATCTTGTTTTGCATTCAAACTCTGACATACAAACAGAGAACAAGTGAATGTGAACCAGCAAGGCAGGGTAGCAAAACAAGGTAACAGAGAAGACAACAGTCTGGCAAATTAAATGCACGTTCATATGCACTCACAATAAGGACTCTCAGGTAACATCAGAAAAGAAAACGAATTAGGAAGAGAACAAAATAGCTGGAGAGTAAACTGGAACTTCTTTAACACAAGAGAGGGGGAGAACATTAATTAGAAATGGAACCATGGTTGAAAGTCACAAGATGGGCAGAAAAACCACATACAAAATGGGAATATTAGTCACTCCCTCTCAATACACAACAGTATTCAAAGAAGGGCTGATGCCATCCTACTCCTGTGGCATCTGGCTAGCCACCATAATGAAGATAACTTAAATGCATCAGTAGCTTGACCCTACACGGTAATTCACTCTTACTTTGTCAGACAGGATCCCACACATACACAGGCCAACCCCTTATGTGACCCTGGTCATAAAATCTCTAGAAAGATTTTCTATGCCACACGCTTCTGACGAAGTGAGCTCTAACTCACGAAAGCATTTCTTGAAACAAACTTGGTTAGTCTTAAAGGTGCTGCTAAGACTACCAAAGGGGAAAAGAAGCCAAGGTAAGAAAAGGACCCCGTCAGTGATACCCGCCGGGGAGGTCTTGTGGTGGAGGGAAAGCCCGGGAGGAGGAGGAGGAGGAGGAGGAGGGCGGGACCCACTACAAGCAGCCTCAGTAGGCAGTCCCTCACTCGCCCCGCTGGCCACCGCGGGGGTAGACCTGCTGCCTCCGCTCCGAGGTAAAAGGAAGCCGCCCAACGGAAGCCCTGCCGACTTCCTCCACCAAGACCCACAGCTGCTACTGCTGCCGCCTCCTCCGCCTCCTCTCCCGCCGCCCCAGGCCTCCACTCACCGACAGGACACTCATGCGGAGTGGTGTCTCCAGCACACACGCCATCTTGGTGCGCGCCAGAGCTAGCCGTTCAACCCCACGCAAGACCCGGTGCCACGACCGCTACTACCGGTGCCGACAAGCGAGGCCACATCGCCGGGAAGGGGGGGAGGAGGAGGAAAGGAGCGCGGGAGGGAGCGTTCCCGTTCAAGCTCGAATCGGCTAACGAAAAAACTAAACTGCTTCGCCTCACGGCCAATAACGCGCATGCGTCGTGAGAATTTGTCTGAGGGAGGGATTATTGCCGGAAGTTGGTGGATTTATTCCCACCTGCTTACGGAACTCAGAGTAAGAAGAGCACGGCGCGAGCTCTACTTTTAGACATTTGGGCGTCAGCCAATGGGAAGCGGAATGAGGGATCAGCAGCCGTTCTGTTAAGCGCATGTGCAGTGTCCAAAGCCACCTGTCTAACTCTGTCCTTGGCCGTGTAGGTAGGGAGGAGATAATTAAGAGAGCATTATGATAGAGATAGATGAGTTTACACGTAGTCCTAGCCCGCCATCTACTGGGGAAATACGTTTTGGGGAAAGCACTTGGGAATATTAATTTTGTTATGGGATAGTTGTACGTTTAGCGGACCTGATGCTGGGAAAGATTGAAGGTAAAAGAAGAAGGGGACAGCAAAGGATGAGATAGTTAGACAGTGTAATCGATACAGCTAACATGAAATTAAGCAAACTCCGGAAGACAGCGGAGGACAGGAGGACCTGGCGTGATGTGGTCCATGGGGTCGCGAAGAGTCGGACTCGACTGTGCGACTGAACAACAACATACATGATAAGAAGCACATTTCTGTGAGACTTATATGCCACTGGTATTTCAAATCGGAAGATTTCCTTGATGAAAGTTTCTTTTAACATTTTTATGTCTTAAAAATAACTTGTATGGAACTCCTGCATCATTTAAAAGATGTATACATATGGCATATTAAATCACATATTTTATAAAACCTCCAACTTACTTTGGCTTAGTGTTTGTGTGTTTTAATTATAACCTAAATAACTATTAGAAAGTATACTGTGTATAGAATTTGCTGTACAGAAGTCATGTGTCATGTCAGACTGCCTACAGTCAACATTAGATTGGGAAAACAAGATAGGAGAAGAGATATATTAGGTACTTGATGGACAGCGAGACTGAGGATGAGAATAGAGAAGGGAGGTGGATAAACAGAAAATAGTATTGCCTCCAAACACAAAGACATGTCCTGAAACAGAAGATATCTCATTAAAGAGGTACTTCCTATCACCCATGTTAGTTCTTCAAATTTGCTTCCACAACTGGTGTCTCCAAAACCCAAGTATACCTGTTCAGTGCTTTCAAAATAGTGAATTATAGCATTCCAATTTCCTACAAAAAATCTGCTACTTAGTTTATATTTAAGAAGCTCATCCATGTAATTACTTTGAGGGGGCTTGTGTATCCCTACATTCACCTGCACAAAAATCATACTAAATTAATTGTGGGCCAATATTCTATTCTCACAGCAAAAGTAGACACCTTAATTTACTTTGAGTAGGTTCAGGTCCTGAAGAAGGGCCAGAAAACATGCACACACTACCAAGCTCTTATCTGAGGCATATCTACTGTTAATACATTTCTTGCTTTTACTGCCATATTTTCTACTTTTGTGATCCATTTGCTGCTCTGGTACATCATGTGTTAATGTAGTGGGTTTTTATTTGTACTGCCTTCTAATTTTGTAATCCTAGTCTTAATGCATTGTTTGGTGGATATTTTATGCTGCCTGGTTGCATTGTTTTTATATTGTGATCCACCCCGAGTTTCAGCAAGAAAGCCAGGCTATAAACGAAGTAAATAAATAAACAAACAAACATGAGATAATGGGCAAATATCCCCAAACCCCCAAACACTACCTATGCAGATCTAAACTGTGCACTAAGAAGTCAACCGCTTCCTGCCATATTCTGCTGAGAATCCACTCCTGCACTGTGTCTTGACAATACAGGGAGATGAATTATGCGAGGGTGGTAGCAATTATTTAGTTCTCTGAGGTCTACTATAGAAATAATGTGGTATCGTGGCTTGAATGCCACACTAAATGTGTGAAAGACAGCTTCACATCACCACTCGGGGTGCTTCACTACAAAGTCCGTGTGACATCTAACCATCACAAGTATTTGGGTTCAGATGGGGATCATGGAAACTCCGTTCCTAGCCATGTATGGGCCAAATTCAGATCAAGACCACAATACACAAGAAGAGGCTACAGCCTTTTCCAACACAATGTTTTATCTAGTGAGACATTCTTCTCCGTTGGGGAAATTTACATGTAGCCATCATCAGTAAGTCTCCCAGTAATGGGCAAATAGTGGCTCCCCCTCTGGACTGTTTCAGATCAAAGAAAGGGAAAAGTCTAAGGTTATTGAAAATGACCTGGCAACTTGTAGGAGTTCAGGGCAGCAGGATATGGGAACTGCTGGTGACAGTGTGATATCACTTCCAGGGAAAACCTAGAAGTGACAACAGTCCTCCCTAGGAATTGCTGGCAATTCCTAGAAAGGGCTGCTATTACTTCCAGGCTTTCCCTGGAAATGGTGGTATAGAAGTATTTATTTTTGTTTTGTTTTTTCTTACCAACATCCTGAGCAGAGTTGGGAAGAGAGGATCTGCTGCCACAGCAAGAGACCTAGCAGGACATCCATAGCAAGAGACCTGGCAACCCTGACAGAGGCTGAAAACCCTTCTCCTCACACATTAGTATCACAATCCAGATTGAGCCTACACATGGCTGTAGGCTTGCCAGGTTCCTCTTGGCCACCAGCAGGGGATGTGGTGTAGGGTTGCCAGATCTAGTTTGTGAAACTCCTGGAGATTTTGAGGTGGAACCTGGGGAGGTGAGGACAGGGACCTCAGTGGGGTACAAGGCCATATAGAGTCCACCCTCCAAAGCATCCAGTTCCTCCAGGGGAACTGATCTCTGTAGTTTGGAGATGAGCTGTAATTCCAGGAGATCCCCAGGCCTCACCTGGAGGCTGGCATTTCTACATGCCTGGAAATTAAATTCCTAACTAGGAACTCCAAGAACACATCTATAGAGAATCCACCTGGGGAGCATATAGACTTTGTAGCATATGAATTAACCTTCAGTCATGAAGCTCACTAGGTGATCTTGGGCCAGTCGCTTTCTCTTAGTTTAGAAAATTAACATGCCAGGGAAGCTGCTAAACTAGAACCATTGATATTCGATTTTGTGTGTACACTGAGTATTTTGATATGGAGAATGCATTTAATCATATAATCCCTCACATTCAGTGTTAAGTAATACTATTCAGGAACAATTTTACCACATGATCTGATGCTTATATAAACTAGGCCACAATACTGGAAAATCTAGAACTTTGTATTGCAAATGCATGGAAAAGGTGAGGCTTCCTCAAACATCATAGCATGCTTCCTTAATTCAAGAAAGCAATTGTCCCATCTTTTCCATGTGTAACTATTAAACTAGATAGATGATTCACCTCATAATAGTTATTCTGCTGAAGGACAAAAATGGGATAGGGGCTCAGAACATATTTTAAGAAACACAGCGGAAACAAAGCAAAAAAGACTGACAACAGTGATAATCAATTAAAAAGATAGAGAACAAAGCCTCAAGTTTTTTCATGTACATAGTAGTGTGCTCTGATAGTTGTGATGGGCTGTGAGTGTTCTTCTAAAAGCCTGGTCACACTCATTCAGCTCACTATGTGGGCTACTGAAAGTCACTACCTCTTACCACCCTAACTTACCTTATGGAGCTGTTGTGAGGATATATAAAGAATGTAAAGCAATTAGTACACTAACAGTGCAATCCTGAGATGGGGGTAAAAGCACACAGGGAACTGACTAGACATTATGCCGGGATCTCTCCAAGATGAGCTGGCAGAGTACTCTGGGGGCACTGCAACTTGACCCAGCAGTGTAATTAGGCCTGATGAGTCCTCTTCAGAAGACAAGGAGGTTGTGGAAACTAACCTTGTGGAGATCAGTATCCCAGAAGACCCCGCAGTGCCTGGGCCCTCAGACACCCAGGACGCAGATAGGCCACCTGCTGAGACCATGACACTAGAAACCTAAACGGCTCCTGGATAGAAGCCAGACATGGAGGCCACAGAAGAATCCATTAGCATAACCTGTCCTTCACCAGGAATCCCGTAGGTACCCTCAGAGGCCCTGGAGGCTCAGATCCAGCAATAGAGTGCCTGGTTGGTGGCCTAGGACCTCTCCTCCACCCACAAGCCTTGTGACAACCAAGATCCATCATGAGGTTTTGGAGGATGTTGGATTAAGCCTAGCTGTAAGCAATGCTACCTCTAAGATGTGGAGTCTTGTGAGCAAAAATTCTACTTTGTGACCTACGGCCATTAAAGTTGTGAGCAAGCAATTTGGCTACTGCATAAATTAGTTTGCTCTGGAGCCATCCTTCCTAAGCGAAGACAAAAATCTGTGAGCCGGAGGCTAAAAAACTGTGAGCTAGCTCACACTAACTCAGCTTAGAGGGAACAAAGGCTGTAAGTGCCTGCAGGATACTGTCATTTATTTATTTATTTATTTATTAAACTTATATCCCGCCCTCCCCCGTAGGGCTCAGGGCAGCTAACAGGCGATAAATATTGCAACAATATAACAAAATACTCAATATTAAAAATAAATATACATTTTAAAACCATGGGTGACAGCTGTATGCACTCGCCTCCACAAATAGACATGGACCGATTTCCCACAAGCAGCTGCTCCGCCCTCACTTCCCTTTCCCCAGATTGTATGCATCAATTTCCCACTATTTGCTGCATGGCCGCATTTTGAACTGCAGCTTTACCCGATTTCGCCTGCATCTTCTGGATCCTTAAAAAACAGGATTGAGAAAACGTGTGGGAAATTGGGCAAAGCTGCAGGTCAAACTGCGGCCACGCAGCAAATAGTGGGAAATTGATGCATACAATGGGGGGGGGGGAGCGAGGGAGGAGCAGCAGCTGTGGGAAATCAGTCTCAGTCCTGCCTGGGTGACTGTGGGATCAACAGATTTATTAGAGTTTGTGACTGACCCAGCGGTGTGGCAGGAGTTAATTGGCTCCCTAAGCTGGCCCAGCCTGGGAATATGCCCTCCAGAACAGCAGAAAGTTATCCCATCAAAAACCATGGCGTACCTCAAGTGCCCAGACAATGGAAAAGGTCAAATGTACCCCCATTGGTGGTGGTGTTGTTGTTCAGTAACACAGTCGAGTCGAACTCTTCATGACCCCATGGACCACATCACGCCAGGCCCTTCTGTCCTCTCTCATTTGCTCAACTTCATGTTCGTTGCATCAATAACACTGTCTAACCATCTCACCCTTTGCTGTCTCCTTCTTCTTTGACCTTCAGTCTTTCCCAGCATCAGTGTGCTCTCCAGTGAATGCTCCCTTCTCACATGCCCAAAAGCCCCAACAGAGCACAGAATGCTGACTACAGCTGTAATCCATCACCCCCTTCCCCAGCAGCAGCCAAACCTCCTTCCCTACCACTAACCAACCCCCTCACACACATACACTACATAAGCCCCAGCC